TCTTCCCTTTTAACTTTTCTCATCCTTTACATTCAAATTTCCTCCCATTTTTCAGCTATTTTAATTTGCCTTTTATTTTTATTTCTTTTAGGCAAAGACATCATGGGGTACGAAATGAAATTAGGGTGGGGCAAAGCAGTGCCACTCCCCCCACACCCCATATATGTCCCCCCTGAAATGGAAGAAGACAACACTCCTCCACCCCCCTCAGGACTGCCATTCAATGCTCAGCCAGATAAACACTCCACAAAGGATGCCCCTATTGAAGACAAAGATCTTCTTGACCCTAATGGTTTTAATAAAGAGGTGAGCATGACTCTTCACTTCCTTGTCATTATGAATACTTTGGAGAACAGAGTCAAATTCTTGTTATTTTTTCCCCTTCCCATTCTTTTTAGTTCTAGYTTTTACTCATCACAATTTTAGTTAAATGTATAATTCAAAAATTTATCCATACTACCACAAAAGGAGTTCTAGTAGGGTGGGTGGGGCCTAAAGAGGTAGGGGGTATCWTTTAGCACCTTCTCTTAGAACTTTCTAGTGGTCCAATTTTGTCCCCTACTTGATATTTTACAACAAGATAGATTCACAAACTTTAGTTTGTAGCTACAGATGATTGCCCACTTGCGGCATATATTTGATTGACATTAACAATATTCCTAGGGTAAGATCATTCCTTCTCCAAACCCCAACTTGACATATCTATAACAAAGACGCACCGACATTAGTTAATAGTAACAGATACTCACCACCTTCTTGTGGCAATTATTTCATAGACGTTAGCCAATGCTGTTGTGAAAGTTGTAATCCCGAAGGAAAGGTATACCTAACGTCACCTTGTAGTGCTGTCAGTCATCAGTAGGACTTGTCTTGTCAGCCTGTAGCTGACAAGAATTTGGTTTTAAAGAGTGCCATTCTGATTTCTACTAGTCGCAAAACACTTAGACAAAACTGCTGTTTTATTGATTCCAATCTTTAAGGTTTAACGACTTCAGGACTTATTTAGAATTTCAATTTCTGTATCGTGTGTGTTATTATATATTTTATGTGAGTGTGTGGGTGTGTGTTTCCTTATATATTGTTATTTGAGTCAGTGTGTACCTATTCTTATTTGAGTGTTTGATAGACTTTTTTTTATTGTATGAGTGTGTATTTGTTCTTATTATTTATGGGTGTGCCATATTTTTATAGTATGGTTAGGTTGTTTATATAATGTTTATCGTTTATGTTATTGTATTTATCCCACGCTGTGAATTCCATCTTCTAATTCATAGATAAAGCCTTGTTTTGCGGTTTGACTATTCCCATCAGAAATTTAAAGATTGTGGTTAAATGTGAATGATTATGATATGTTTTGCTTTGATGTTAAATGAATGTACCAATACCAGTACCAGTACCAATAACTCTACACCTATACCAACTAAAAATATTCAAAGTTAAAAACTTGKTGTATGGTATACACCCCTTGCATGTGACGTCGAAGCAGCTCAATCTGGAGGACAAAACAAAATAATTTCAATCTCCTGAGAATTGGAATCCTATCGTTATGGCCTCCAAATTCTGCTGGATTTCAATGTGCCGTAAGAGGTCAATTCGAGGCATCTTTAGAATGGGAGTAGCATTTTCTCATTTCAGAACATGTATCTCTTGAGAGTAACATTCTCTGTTTGTAGTGGAGTTTGAGTTGTATCCATATTCATGTGTCTTCTCATGTTCAACTGTTAAACAAAGAAATGGTACTCTAGGATCTGAATGACGTGGTCTGAAATGAGAAAACATGCCCAAGGGTAAAGAGGTCTAATACTGTATGGACAAAAATGGAACTGTTATTAATAATGGTCAAGTACTGAGCCACTTTAATTTTTCTACTGTTGCAATATAAAATTCTAAATTTATTTAGTCATAACATCTAACAAAAAAAGTAGAATCCCCCCTGCTTACACRGTAGTAGTTATACTYTCCAGATTCACCCAGACAAAACAAKGKTTATCTGTAWCATTTYAGAATCCTTCTTTTCCCATAAAAACCTTCCATTAAGGCATTTGATATTGTAAAAGGTGTTACTAACGTTTGGTGATGTTAACATAAAATTCTGTCCACAGGAACTTGCTTTGCTGTATTCACCGTGTCATAGAGTTTGTGGTGCGTGAAGGACCAATGTTCGAAGCCATGATCATGAACAGAGAAATCAACAATAATATGTTCAGGTAGGTSGTTACTTTGCTCGAGGGATCATGGAGAGGAATGGGCGGGGACGAGAGGGGCTACAGCCACCATTTTTTGCTAGTGTCCACTAAGTCTTATCTCCTCTTCAAGTCGGCTTTACTTTTCGATGTAAGCCACCTCATTTAAGGGCTCAGCAATTTTTGTGATCATACCCTTGTAGCAGGGAGAAAGGAAGGTTCCKTGCCTTACTCACTCCCCCTCCCCCTCACCTTCCCCACATGCCTCCACACATGCATCACCCAACACTACCCACCCAACCCAACCCCTACCTGGAATTACCCCAGCTTTCGCTACYAATGAATGTAAATAATAAAATTAGGTATACAGCCCATTGAAGTGTCCGTAAATGAGAGTCATCTTTGATGASTAATGAATTTTGCTTGTTTTGACAGATTTTTGTTTGACAACCAATCCCCTGAGCACATCTATTACAGATGGAAGCTGTTTTCTATACTACAGGTAAAGCAAGGCTCATGTCTCTCTACAACTGCAGAATGTTGCCTTAGAGTATTATAGTACAGTACCTCTGTTAAAAGAATTAAARATTATAAGAAAATTTTCTTTTCATGGGGAATCAGATATGGTGGTTTCTTCCTTCCTCCCTGTGGCCTTTCCTTCCTTCCTCTATTTGTTGTTTTCTTTCTGCCTTTTCTTCCTACCTACCATTTAATCCCCTTGCTTCCATCCTCCTTTCCTCTCTCTTTTTGTTCCTTCTTCTCTCTTTCACTATTCATTCAATGCATGTCGTGCATTCGTTTCATTCATTCTYTATTCTTTGTTCATTTATTGATTTATACATTCTCTTGTTCCAGGGTGACTCACAAACAAAGTGGAGGACAGAAAAATTCAAAATGTTTTGTAATGGTTCCTGGTGGCAGCCTCCATCGTGTACGCAGTATAGTGTAGGAGCATATACRATAGCTTCAGCCACAGCAGTATCCAAGCAAATAGATGAAACCCCTCCAGAAAAGGTGACACCAGCTAAACCAGTGGAGAGAGAAATTTCTGTACCAAGCACCACCAGCAGTAAGGACAGGGACAAGAAATTCAATTTATCATCAAGGTGTGTAAACTACTATATGACTGGTCAGTCGCAAGTTATGATGACTTGCAAAATTAATTTTAGCTCAGCCATGCCTCATTTCTGCAGGGTTTTCAATAGGAGCCGGCAACCGGCAGATTCCSCCATCTACTSTTGCTAATTCRGCYGCCTACWTGGCCACTTCCCAATGTAATTGTAAATTTTGCTTAAAGTTCTTTAAAGTTCGTTAAAATAAATTTTAACCCATTCTTTGTTGCTGTTCTACAAAAACTGCAAAGCAATCGAAACTACGACAATGGTTGTCCGCCATCTTCAATTTTTGTGAGAAGAGTGAGACTGGTGACAAGTATGCCTCRACTACATGCTCCAGTGATTTTTGGTTTACCGCCTATTTCAATTTCTTAACCACCTACCAAAAATTTTATTGATAACCCTGTTTCTGGCTTAACAATACTGTTCAAATTCGTCAGCAATACAAAGATTAATTTTACCAGACAAATTCCAATTCTGGCCGGACWTTGACAGATGACTGGCCGTTATTTTTAGCCTTGTAATGTATCGTTGTTTACATGTTAATAGGCCATTTCATGGATCCCATTACTCAGCCTCAGCCTCATCAGCGTGTAATTATTTTTTAGAATTTGACTACAGTCCGCAGTAATGAAAGGAATTTACACATCAACGAACAATTGAAACACTTAAAAATTTCACAGGTTGTAGGCAATTTCTAAAGAATATATTACACGCTGACGAGGCTGAGRTTGAGCTGCRGGATCTGTGAAATGGTGTCTTGTATCTAACTAAGGATTATGTCAATTACCAGGCAAAGAGACAAGCTTGAAGACATGCTAAGGAACCTAACGATAGAGAGATCCAAGATAGCTGATGCTATGGTGTGGTGTCTGGAGCATGCTGACTCAGCTGATGAGGTAAAGAATTTTACAAATATCTGTAACCACTACCCCGTACCCCACCCCTACTCCATGCATACAGCACTGACATGGCGTGGATTTGATGACTTCCTAAGGTCACAGTGTTTCAAATCCTCCTCCAATGAAAAATCTCAAACGTCACCACCTCACAAGATAATATTGTAGCATTTTTTTTACAGTCATGCCAAGTATGATCTATCAAAATAATTACATCTTGTTTTCCATTGATCTTGTAATGATGTATCCAAGGCTGTAGCATGATTTTTTCTACAGTTATGACAAATGTGTTCTGTTAAAAAATTACATTAATAACTGACTTGTTTTCCAATGTKTCTGTAGGTTACAGAATGTATAAGTGAATCTCTGTCGCTCCTGGAAACACCTCTTCAAGTGAAAGTTGCACGTCTCTATCTTGTGTCTGATATCCTCCACAACTGTTCRGTCAAAATTCCTAACGTGTCCTACTTTAGAAAGGGGTGAGTATGACCGCTGTTTTCATTGCTGTAAATGTACTGATCAAGACATGCTGCAACAGGTTCATGGGCAATGGACTACCTTCTGTCTTAGGCAGTAGTTCATTCACCTCTCACCTCTGGGGTCTCYGGTTCCATTATGGGTACCATAYGCTTGTGACGCATCGTCCTTCACTGCTGTGGGTCACTGGTTCAAGCCCTGTGGACACCATATGTGAATTGAGTTTGTTTGATGTGTTGTTCCTTCCTATGCTATGAGGGTTTTCTCCGGGTTCTCTGGTTTCCTCCCTCTGTAAAAATCAACATGTGAGTTGAGCGTTGTGTGCATAGAACAGCACTTAATTAAAGAGATTTCCCCCCGAAAATTGACATCAYTTGGAAATATTTATAACAAGAAATTATTTTCCCACGAAAGAATTCTGTTGCATAACCAGCAGTTAAGCCTTGATTTTGGAGTTTTCATTTTTTTACTGTTCTTTCTTATCCCCAGATTTGAAACAAGACTAAAGGATATATTCGCAAATTTAAGTGCAGCTTTTAAAGCAATAAAAGCGAGGATGAAAGCTGAACAATTTAAGGTCAGTATATGTAAGGAAAAAAATTACTATTCCATGAAATAAAATAATAGAAAATCGAAATAATGGGAATTGAAATGATRGGAAAATGCAAGAATGTAAAATGAAAGTTTCCTTGATGTGTTTTGATTTAACAGAAACAAGTGATGAGATGTCTTTCTGCTTGGATGAGCTGGGCTGTCTATCCTCCAGACTTTCTAGTCAACTTACAGTGTATATTTCTTGGCCAGATTGACAGCAATGCTGGTTTATTTGGGGTTAGTAAAAAAATTTACAATTCAATCATTTGGCCATGTTTTTGCTTTGATTATTGTGGAAATATAAATGTTTATTTTTARTATTATTGTTGTTAATAGTTATTTAATTTATCATGTCTGAAAGCGATAGCCTTAAAGATACTAATAGTTGTTATTGTTATCATTATTTTATATGACATGAAAAGATTTAAAATTAATATTTTCTCCATAATTTCCACTTCTTTTTTTTTTTCAACCATAACGATCAAATTTATATCGCGCAAAAATGTCACTCCTATCTGACCTTAATCATTTGTAGGTGAACCATAGCTCGAACTTGGATCGCAAACCATTTGCAGATGTTGACGGGGCTCCTCTAGATTTGGATGGAGTCCCCTTGAAATCTGAAGAGATAGATGGTGTGCCTCTGGAAGAAAGTGCCCTAGACGGTGTTCCACTAGCCAAGGAAGATATTGATGGAGTACCCAGTATGTAATTTTGATTATTAATTTTTACTTACCCCGTATTCTAATGACTAAGATAATATCCATTT